AGATAATTAGCTACTCCCGGAAAAGAGCAAAAGCAAATGAAACGAAGAACCTGTGGGGACTCGCATAATACGATCCATAATCACACGATACGGATGCTTTACGCCAAGAGCGTGGTGACACTCATCAAATATAATGAGAGCGAGTTTCGCGATGTTGAAGTATGCATGATCTATCAAATCGAGAAACACTTGAGCGGTAATGACCACTACCTAAAGAAGTATGGTAAGTCTGAAGTTCGTTGAATTGACAAAATGTTGTGAACTTTCGAGCAAATACACTAAAATGGGTTTGAGATCCACTATGCTACATAAAAGCGAAACTGCAGCAGAACTGACATTATGTACAGACATGAAATCATCGAATCCACTCTGCTTATTCCAGACATCACTGTTCAAACTACCATGCATTCTGCCAACAGTAAGCGTAGTATGACACTGAATATGCTCAGCTTGCTGATCCACCAGAGCTACTGAAAACAATAATATTAGGGTATATGAGACCTTTCCCAAGTATATTCAATCCCTAAGAGCTCCCTGCACCCACTCAAGAGCAATGTCTGGGGTATGGTTCTGAGCCTTCCTTTCTCCGCTTTCAAATACAATTAAAAATTAAAAAATTAAGTGGTGGCGAATTGAAGTATATGATTACCGTAATCCAGATGTTTCTCTTCTTGGGACCTAACGTATGTCGTTTGCTGGATAGTCTTCATTCGTCAACACCGTGACAATGCAATGCTAACGACTTTAGCTCGTTCCCGACTTTTCGCTAGGTTCTGAAGCTCACTGCTTTCGTACAAGATCACGCTACTTCCTGACTACTATAGGCCCGAGATCTCTTGAATCAACCTAGGACCCAGACCCATACTCTGAAAAAAATATTCTCTCTTCCACCTACATGTCGAAGGGGACGAAGGGGTTGAGCGTTGACACTGAAATAGAGCTTGAATGCTCGCCTTTTCAATATTTGCTGACCTGTTTACACTACAAAAACATCAGAACTG